AAAAAAAAAAAAAAAAAAAAAAAAAAAAAAAAACCCCTTTCAACATAAAACGATGAAACTGGTAGAAAAGATAGAGAAAACCACGAGCAGCAAAAGTAGAACAACCCATTACATCAGCTCATTATGGAGCAAAAAGCCCTTATCTTCCTTTCTCTGGAAGTGGCTAAAGCCCTTATCCTTATGACATAATAAACTTAAGAAAAGCACCATTAAAATTAAGAACAACAAAATGCAAACACGCAGAAGGACACTTGGAACAGCACAGGAAGTACCAAAAATGGCAAAAAAAATCTACAAATCGGAAATAAACCTTTTCAAATCTGATAGCAACAAACAACGATAACCGGAAACGGATCTGACACGATTTGAAAGGTACAAGACAAAATCTCAACGCTAAAAATCACATTCACGATATTCAGGAACCCTAGATTCAGCATTCATAAATTAAGCTTTTGCGATCGAATTCAGTAAAATAAAAGATGATTAAAAAAAAAATAAAGAAATAAAACTTACCCTGCGATTTTGAAATTCGAACCAGGCGGGCTTGAAATTTTTGTCGGTCCTTTCTCTTTTTTTCGATTTCGCTTGATTTTCCCACCAAATTGAAATTGGGCTGCAGAAGTTTTTAGTCAAAAGTCCCCAAAAGAGGATGAAGAACTCTTGAAATGCCCACAAATATCTCAAATTGAAAATGTGGAGTAGGGTTTTCATTTTCTTAGATTTTAACCAAAGTTTTTGCTACCTTAACTATAGTTTGAATCAACTATGGCAAGTGTTGTATTTAGCTTAACCATAGTTACTTTTCAATATATAATATTTTTATTTAAGGATCTAAAAGCAAATAATGAATAATCTCGCTGGTGTCTTTAACCGTATATCTACTTTAGTATAGAGTTTAAATTTATTTTCCAGTCATTCGTACTATATTTTACTTTACTAGTATGAGTCTCGTACAGTGTACGGATAAGATATATTCACTAATATTTATGTATTATAAATTCTTATTAAGTAATATTCATAAATAAATAAATATGGAATCAATATGTAATACGATTACCTATTCTAATTTATTGAAAATTTATATAAAGTTTAAATTGTACAAAATTACATAAAAATATCTAGTTAAAATTAGTACACAACTCGTGTGGTGCACATAACTGATAATAGATCACATATATTTATTTCAAAATAAGTATCATTTCGATTTTTTTTTTATAAACTCGATTTAACTATAATGTGATCCCATAAAATTGTTACTTTGGTAAAATGTTATCCTATATTTAACAACATATGTGAATAAGTATAAATATAAAATTTATATTGTTTCATTACTTATACAAATAATCTATTTCTGTATAAACTATTCAAATTAAAAAATTATGTAGTTGAGTAATATATTAAATTAAAAATAATTGACTATTTCGTTTTCGTCTAAGTTAATATTGACCTGTAAGTTATTGAGTAATTTATTAAACTATAAATAATTGACTATTTCGTTTACGCCCAAGTTAATATTGATGAATAATTATTTTTTAAATTTTAATTTCAAATAAATTTTTTTATTTTTTTCAATATATTATATACTAAATTTATCATGCAACTAATAAAGGTAATAGCCGCAAGTTTGTCAATATATTATATTCTAAATTTAAATAATGCAAGTAATAAAAGTAATAGTCGTAATATTTGACCAACATTAATTACATTAATTTATGCGGGATTTTTTAAATTTTGGAGAAAAATATTACTCCATATAGTAAATACTTTAGACGGGAAATCAAATATTTTTTTGTTGATTTTTTTGTTGTTATTTCAAATAAATATCATTACCTCTTTATATATTAATAGATATGAATATTTTTTTTCCATTCTCATTATATTATATTAATTTTAATGTTAATATAATTTAATTATAATAATCATTACATGATTAACACTAATATAGCTACATATATTAAGGGCGTGTTTATAAAAGAAAATAATCAACCTAAATTAATTCATATTCAAAATCTAACTCAATGTTAACTCAACCCAATTATCTTCAATATTATCAATATAATAAAATAATAACAACCAATTATTAAATAATAACAACAAATCATTTTTACACATCATATCAACTTTAGTTCACTATTCATCCACTCATATAATTTTAACTAATCATCATTTCATATTATCTCTTTCCTACTTTTACATCAAATCAACTTTAGTTATTTTAATTTAAATATTATTTCAAAATAAAATCAAAATTTCACTTACAACTAACTATACCACTTTTTTAAATTAACCCTAGTTAACTAAAAAAAAACTCACTTTGAGTTAATTTGAGTGATTTTTTTCTTTTACAAACACACCCTAATATCTTATATTCATTTACTAAAAATTTATCAAGTATTTTTTAAAATGTTATGTATTTTTTATTAAAATATTTATAAAATACTTTTTGAATGTTAACAAGGCTAACTTAACTTTTAATTTGTAATTTAAGAGGTATAACATGAATCTTTTATCAAACAAGTACTATCATCATTTTGTACATATGAGAAATTTTAGATGACATTACACATAACACAATTTTTTGTAGAATTGGTAGATAAATTGAAACTAAATCATATTTTATAACCCTTTTAATTATTTTAATTGATTTAACTAATAATTTGTATTATATATATATATATATATATATATATATATATATATTATTTGTTGTTGAACTAGAACTATCTATTGAATACACGTCTCATTTTGCTCGAAACAAAACAAAAACAACATAATTTACAAATAGAAGTAATAAAGTTTGTTATTTTATGGTATGCAAAAACCTCTGATTGGCTGGATTTGGCCTGTTTTTGAGGTCCTCGGCGCCGAGCTCCTCTAGACCTGCAAAAACTCTCACACCTGAGGGTTTTTCAGGCGAAGATCTTTGATGCTTAACTTAGCATTGTAGAAGATGATGAAATGTGTATATTTGTAGGGAATAACAGAAAATGTAATATTACAATGGTCATACCTCACTCTCTTTTATAGGGAGATGATATCTTGATGTCCAGTCTGCCCGAGTGGGCTGCCTGGTCTACCAGAACTGACCAATTCTGCTAGGTCACGTGGCCCTATTCACGTGTGGTCCTTATCCTATTAAGATTACTCAGTATTCCTTAGTCTTTCGTATCAGACCGTCTAATAGTGTGACCAACTCGAGTTATGCTAAGGTTGAATGTGGACTATTTTGAGTCTAAGTGTTTGCCTTTCTGGTCGATCGCACGACCAATCGTACCTTTATGTCGAATGTCAAACAGGTCATCCGAGAACCCAAGTTCGACATGTTGATGTATCTGAACCCCTCACATCTTATTCGTCCTGAAGACTCCTTGTTTTGGGTTGGTGGTGTTCAACCACCTTCATCCATCTTGTAGTTCTGTTCGACCGGCCAGTTCGCTCGACCAGGTCGGCCGGTTTATTGGTTCTACTCTTCCGAGTGTTGTATTCCATATCATTTTATATTCTTTTTACCTGGCTATTCTCGTTCAACGTAAACTATTAAAAGATATGAATAAAGAACCCTCTATTACCAAATGATAAAATGTGAGTTATATTATAAGTTAATAGACATGTAACATCGAATAAAATAACATTGTCTTTCATAGGGAACTCTCTATTTACAAATGGTAATATTATAAGTTATTATACATGTAACAATTTATGTTGTACACATTATAAGCTATAACAAATGTTAAAATACATGAGTACTCTCCTGTTGGGAGGGTTCTCTTTCGTTTTAGTAGTTGTCGTGTAGTAGTTTAGCTTATGTTTTGTGGTGGTTCTTATTCTCGTGTTGCGAGCAGTATTTCTGTTTAGGTTGCAGTGGTGATATTGTAACCTCCCAGGATTCGGGCGGATTCGGGCTTTGCTCGTGTACATTGCTATTTGGCATTTTTAATGAGAATTTTATATCGTTGGAAAAAAAAAATGTTAAAATACATGAATTAAATGCTAAATTATTGATTTGTTTCCCTGGAGTAATATTCCACAAACTAAGATTTTTAATTTTAGGGATCGATAAGAGAGATAGAGTATGGTTTACATTTGGAGGCAAAACATAATGAGCAAA